ATTTAATTGGAGGCTTAGTGCATTCTTCTTAGGCTTCCTCCATGAAAGTATCTCCAGAAGAGACATAACTCATCTGTATGTTTTTTTAAACACTAGGAGCCAACTCCCCAGTAAAGGCAGGAACCTGTCTTACTTATGATAGTCCCCTGGCCACTCTCATCTCATTCTCTGTGATTTTTTTTTTGTCAACTTACATTTCCAGAGCTCCCCAGGACAAGAGTTGGAGAAAAAGTGCCTTTAGGGAGCATGTACCTGCCCAACATTCAAAGAAAACCCCACTGGGAAGAATAGGACAAGCCAGTGTGCCCATTCCACCTTCCAGAAATTCATATTGCAAGGTAATCAAACACATTCCATTCAGAAAGAAAAATAATTACATGTATTTATGAATACCATACATGTTAGCACCTGCTACCCAGTATTCTAGTTCTCCTTCTATTTAGAACCCTGATTATTAGCTGAGCACATTGCCAGCAGAATAAAGACTATCTTCCCCAGCTTCCTTTGTAACTAAGAGTGGTCACAGGACTTTATTTCCCAGCATCCACTTTGGCCAGGAATGGCCAATGAGATATAATCAGACGTGTTGGAGGAGATTTGGGAGGAAGAGTCTTCTAAGGGAGGTGTGACCTTCGCTAGCCTCATGCTTTCTTCTACGACTGGCCTGGAACATAAGCGTGATGGCTGGAGCTGCAGCAGCCATTTTAGACCTTTAACTGATCTGAAAGCTCTAAGTCAGTTCTAGACTAGTGGGACAGAAAATTAGAAGCTTAGGTCCCTGAAGACACCACGGGACTTCTATGCCAGCCCTGAGCTGCCTAACGTTGGACTTCTTTTGTTTACAAATGAATGAAAGAATAAATGAATGAACTTCGAGCTTATTGCAGCTGCGCGTATTTTATTCTGTGATATGTAGTCAAACTTAACTCTATACTTTGGAGATCTAGGTAAAAGTGGTTTAAGCCCACCTTCTCCCCAGTTTATAGCATGTGGAAATCCAAAGCCCCCCTTAAGATACCTATGGACCCCCGAGTGTATCTCCTTGTCATCCTGCCTCCACACTTTTTCTACCTGTGCCTTCTTAGCTCTGTCCGGCTCTGATCCAAACATGAAAGCTGTTCTCACCGATTTCCACAAAAACCCATTCAGAATCTGGGCAAAGCATTATCTCTTACGTGGCACAGCAAACAATTTACAGACCTACACTGGACCTTTCTGTCAGCTCGGGCCTTTCTGCCCCCCTAACCTCCCAGCACCTCTCTTGGCTCTTGAGCCAGGAAGACCCCATTGTTTTATCTGTTCCTGTTCCTCCCTCTGTCTCTCCTTTCTCTGCTCCTCCTCCCTTCCTTCAGATGGTGTCCAAATTCGTCTGCCTCGCTCATAAAAAGTAATCCACTTGCCAGTGCTCCTTTCCCCGAGCTTTCTATCAGGTGCCCAGCAGATGAAAGAAATTCTCCTTAACAGAACACACTCTCCTTCAAAGACAGCTGTAGTTATTAGTAGCTCTGCCAATGAGTGTGAAGGCAGCTCTAAAACTCTCAGGAACCTCAGAGTGCATGAACGAGAGGGTGGGGCTCGTGGGGAGTGAGAAAGGAGTGTTGGGGTCCAGCTCTTTCTGTGGGTCTGAGTGGCTGTGTGCTGCTACCAGGCCAGGCATTGCTACTTTTAACGCATCGAGGCTTGTCGGCTAATTTCCTGGTGTGTGTCTCTTCCTGCTGACATGTACCAGTGTATCTCTTGGGAGATGAGTTTCTAAGTCTCCACATTCTCCCCCTCTTCCCCTCACTCCCCAGCCCCATCACTTCCTTTTGACATTGCAAGTATCTGTCCCTCTAGTGAGAGCACCCATAGCCGGCCATGCCTCTGGCGTTTTCCAAGTTCCTACTTTGTATCTACTTATGTGCATTATTAAAACAAAAATCCCTTTAAATGTTCTCAGAAAATATATGAAGCAAAACATGTCAAAATTCCAATGTTATTTGAGAAGGATAACGTTAGCTCATTGTTAGCTTTAAATTTATCTAACATTTACCGTCAGGTTTTTTTCACTCACATTTGTCTCTTTAATACTCACAACGTTCCTGTAATAATTGGCATTATAGAATCCATTTTATAGTTATGAGAAAATCAACTGATACCCAGAGAAGTGGGTCGGTTTGCCCCAGGACACACAGCTAGTAGGTAGTGAAGCCATGATAAAAATGTAAGTTCCCCGAGCCTAAGCTCAGAACTTCTTTCATTAGCCGACAAGCGCCCTTGCCATGGATTAATGTACCATTTCCCTAGCAGAGAACAGAGAGTGGATTGAGTGGAGCGAGAATAAATAAGCTCTAACTGGGGAGGAAAGGGTAGATGTGAACCGAGGACCATCGTGGAGAATCCTGGGTGTCAGAAAGAAGAGGAAGTCAAAGCGAAGAGGCACTTTTGTGACAACACCAGCTTTTACAATATCACCTGTTACCCAGGTCATTTTTTTTTTCTGATAAGGGAATTTGCTGTGAAGGAGATGATTGATGCCCAAGGCAGGTGAAAAAATAATTAGGAAGTATATTCAGACACAACAAGCCAGAATCACGGGTGTAACATGGGAATGATAAACCCTCAGCCTGCAGACAGAGTCGGAGCTCTCTGAGTGAAGGAAGGAATGAAGGGCTCCGAGGGACAAATCCCATTCTCAAAAGCAGATTTTGAGACAATCACAACTGGAGCACCTGACAGCAGGCGTCCTCTAGGGACATCGTACACGGTCCAACCAGTTGTTCTGAACCACAGCCTTGGTGACAGGAAGGAGGTTTTTGTCTAGTGGTGAATGGGCACAGGCAATGGTGCTAACAGTTAGCAAAATCACTTCCTGATTTCAGAGTTCCTCTTTTGAACCTGTTCAGTAAGGACCCACCCTTCAAGCATGAAAATTGCTTCTGTTTACCGAATACCTACTGTGTTTCGCATACTGTCATGACATATCCTGACAGCTGAGGAATCTCTCCCCTAGAAATGGGAAGGACTTGCTCAGGGCTGCACAGCTGAGCCAGGGGTGGCATGGCTGTGGGTAAAACCGCCTGGGTCTCTCTCTCTCTCTCTCTCTCTCTCTCTCTCTCTCTCTCTCTCTCTCTCACACACACACACACACACACACACACACACACACACACAC